ATTGAAGAGATTTACTCTCGAGATCAAAGTTTTAGATCAAAATTTAAAAAAAACTGACCGCGCGATTAGGTGATAATAATTTAATGTTACATTTCGCATCATGTATATTATTATAAAAAATCCTTTTCTTGAAAAGATGAATTTTAAATAATAAATTGTTCATTGAGAACGCTTTGAGTTTGAGAAATATGAAAATTCACTCGAAAACAGTTTTTCACGGAGGGCACGGTTTTTCAACGAAATTTCGGATAGCTTGTCGGATCTTTTTTTAACTAGACGAAACTGGTTTTCAAAATTTTCCCAGAATATTTTGAGGACATTAATTTTCTAGCCAAAAATTGGCGCGAAGAAAAACAATGCCGGAGCATCTAGTTTTGTCTAAAGTTGGAACATCGATTGAAGAAACTTTACCACTTCAATTCAATTAGGGTTAAGTTTTAATCCTAATTTTCATTTCAATTAGGATTGCAAAAAAAAAAATATTTAAATGACTAAATCTTAAGTTTTTGATAATTTCCAAGATGTTTTTCCATTTATTCTACTAATAATGCGACAAAATTTTCATAAAAGTCATTTGAGCTTAAAAAACATAGGGTGACAAGGACAGAATATATCGACCATAGTCTTGAAAAAAAAACAATGCAAGTTTTTCGAAATATTGTCGTTTTTTTTCGGCGTGATACAATAAAAGGAACTGAACAAAAACTGCAGATTAGTTTAATTGACAACCATACTAAAATAAGCAAGTTTAATTATAACTTTTATGGAAAAATACTAGAAAAACAAAAAAAATCAAAACAAACGTTATAGAATTTATTTTCAATATTTTGCAGTTTTTTGAATATTTAAAAATTCTGATTCCAAAAAAGCGCTAAATTACTCAAACTAAATCAACATCACTCACATAAAATTAATTTATTACATTTTAAATTGAGCTAATCTAAGCTTTTAAGCAATTGAAATAAGACTGCTTGCTCGCTTTATTCGCTCGTAAGAAAACGAAAAATCAAAATTTTCACCGAATTTTGTCGATAATGGAAAGTTTGTTGGAAAATTTTTTAATGTGGTTCGAATCACGACTGTAATGGCTTTAATATAATATTTCAGAGCCGTCCGATTATTATTTGTGCTTCCTGATTTTGCGAGGAAAAAAAAGAAAAAAAAACTAAAACAGACTCGAATACAAAAATCCTCCCAATTTTCAATGGTCGGAACAAAAACTCGAAACAAGAAACTTGTGTAAATTAATTGAGGTAATCTTTAGTGTAATTTGTATAAGTGAATTGGTATCATCAAGTTGATCAAAATGATCTGATCTCATCGTTAGACTATTGCTGAAACTAATACTTTAAGCTTTACTTCAGTACATATTTTTTTGGGTAAGAGCATGAACTGCTATTGAGTTTTAAAATTTCGTAGTCTTAAATGCATCAAAAATTGAGAAGGGAATTTAGAAAAATTCCCAGAAAAATCATTACAACGAGAGATATTTTTTAAAGAACCCTTGATTAGATGTAAGTCACGGCATTTAAGTCAGTAAAATGGGACTCCCATACTACACAAAACTTCCTTAAGTTACTAAAACCAACCAATTCAAAAAAATCGCCATAAGTTTATCACTTTTCTTGTAAAATCTCACTCTTATCATCGATTCTTCAGTTTTTGTCGTGGCCACAAAAAATGAAAGGTCACGGTATTTTTCAGAAACCAAAACTGTTTTTTTTTCATCTTCCTTTCTCCTTTGTAAAAGGAGAGAAACTTGTTAATAGGATCAAAATTCTTTTGCCAGAACCCTTTTCAATATTTTAAAGGCGCGCAACTTCATTTCATTACCATAGGAAACTATTTGCAAGATGTGGATTTCAGTTTGAAAATAAAAACACTATTTGTTACATGTGCTTGACATTGCGTGCCAGGGGATGATTCAAAAATTAGCCATTTAATATTACAAATTCGAAAACGTAGTTTTTTCTATAAATTTATGGGTTTTTAAAAAACTACTGCGGATAAACCAGTCGATAACTTAATTTTGAAGTGAGGTGTCTTGTTTTTGTTCAGAGCAAAATAGCTAGAACCGCAAATTTTTGACTTTTGGAAACTTTAGATGAAAAAATTGCTAAATAAGTAAATATTATTATATATTAAAACTAGTAAGTATTAGTAAATATTAGCCCCTTAAAATTAGTAAATATTAGCGCCAAAGGCGCCTCAAAAACTTTCAGGGTACATCAGCCAAAAATGGATATCTCAAAGTAGTACAAAGGGGGAGCTTTGGGTCGGCATGGGTTCGAATACCTTCTCCCCCCTCAGCTACTCGACCACCTGTCGACCCGAAGGTTTCCCCCGCTGTATGACCTTGAGATATCCATTTTTATTTTTGGCTGACGTACCCTAAATTTTTTGTAAGGCGCCTTTGGCGCTAACTTTTACTCATTTTGAGGGGCAAGCACACGCCAAAAAACGCAATTTTTTGGTCAAATGTTTTCAAAAATTGCCTAAAAAAGCCTCTTTTTGGCCTGTCTTTGTTTCAACTTTCACCTGCGGGGCTGAAAATTTGGCCAAAATAGGGTCTAGTGAGATCTTGAGGAGAGCTCGGAAAAATTATTTAGTCAACCTAAAAAAAGGTCGACAAAACATACAAAGTTTTTTATTTGAAAGTCCACCTCCTCTCTCGAGAAAATTCGAGATGTGCTCCTGAAAATAATCGTTCATGTTAACGGTTTTTGACGAAAAAATTTATACCAGCTGAAAGATGATGCTTTTTTTAAGTCAATTTAAAAAACTTTCTTTTCCACTTGTGATTGTTTTGGCGAAGTTATTTGGTCAACCTTATAATTTCATTCAGATAAATATATTTAGTCATTAAAAGTAAATTAGTCAATCTAAAAAGTCGTCAAAACTTTCGAAATTTTTTGAAAATCTGCCCCTCCCTCGAGAAGATCCTAGATCCGCACCTAAAAATAGCTGTTCTTTTTTGCCATTTTTTTGAAAAAACTTATGCCAGCTAAAAAATGATGGTTCTTTGAACTCAATAAAAGTATGCATTTCTACTTTTGATTGTTTTTGCAAAGTTATAGAGGTTTGGAAAATCACATTTTGGCCAATTTGGAAAAATTGATAGGCGTAAACTCATCAGTTTTCTACCTTTGCTATGAGCTCAGAAACCATTCCAAATTGAACATTGTCTATGTATTTAATTTAAAAAATACATTTATAGTTGTTAAATTTATCTTTTTGTGAAGGTGAAGGCTAAAAAAATTCAATATGTAATTTTTTTGTAGATTATTATAAGTAAGACTTATTCGGATAACGCAAAGGACAATCGGAATTTTTTAGGGTTTATACGCCTCGACCAGGTTGACCCATTTAGCGAGCGCATGTACATGCAAATTTTTTTTAACTTGATAGAATTTGTTCTCGCGTTCATTAAGAACTTCATTCATTCAAAGATTAAAATTTTTTAGTCTCCTTGTTATGAGGATTATTAAAGCATCTTTGCGAAAGAATACGCTTTTTGAAAATTATTCTTTGAATTATAGATGAATACTCTCCCGGCTGCCTTTTTTGTATTCTCATTTCTCTGTTAGCATTAATGAAGAGATCTTTGCAGGAGTAGTTCTTAATTTAAGATATTAAAAATTTACATACTTATTGCAAAATTTTTTTGTGCTTCAAATATCAAACAAATGCAAAGAATTGCGAGAATAATTTTCTGAGTGCCTTGCAGTTTTTCCGCAAAATTGTAGTTCTAACTTTTACAGAAACCTGCCTTTATACCTAACTCTGAAAAAGTTTTAAAATCAATTAAAAAGCAAACCTGTTTTTTGAAAGTAAAGCTATGAAATTACGACAGTTTTATAGGTCTTTTAGGATTGGATACATGTATTAGTGCTCAAAAAATTTTACGTTTTTTGGTCAAATCTGTCAAAATGAAAGAAAATTGAGATCTTTTGCGATTCGAAACAGATTATGTGTTCCCATTTTATGTTGCTTATTTCCTGAAGATGTCTTTTGGTTCAACATTTTTCCTCCAACCTATTTTGTCATAATTTCTATCAATTTAATCCGTGACTCTTAGTAGAATAAGATTTCTCTCGACTATCAATATGATTGAGCGAGATTCCAAGAAGTGTTATGACGTTTTCTCTGACGGTTAAGAATCAGAGACAGCTTAGTACCAGAACATTTTAATCGTATTTTTGACAGAGATTAGTACGGGTGATTTACCTTTCTATGACAAGTCAACTTCAATATAACCCCAAATCGGATGGTCAGAGAATGGAATTAGAAATACATTCAGACGATAGACTGACAGATTATAATCCCCATTGAAAACTTATCCAAGTTCGCAAAAATTGATTTTTAAGACTTCGTAGACAGGAAAAACTCACAAGCGTTCTCAAATGAATTTCCATTTTTTTCTCAATTGAAAAGCACCAGAGCTTAAATAATAAAAAAGAGAATTGAGACGCTCAAAGCTATGGATTTTCGTCGATAATTTCAGAGCCAGAGAACCCTGTGGCAAAATGCGAGGACACCGCTACAACGTTTTTTGGAGTGAAAAAAATAACTAAGTAATAAAGATAAAACTCCGATGAGCGGGAAATTTGAGGAAATAAATCGATTTTTTTGTCTTCTAACCAAATAAAAGCTTTAAGTGTCATAATTGTTTGTTTCAGTACTATTTTTGTCTGAATCCATTAAGTTTTACAAATGCGTCTTCTAATCAATAAGAAATATGACCAAGTTAACAACATCCTCCGCCTCCCCCGCCCACCCCAAGTTATTAGGTGAAGGTATTAACTTGCGGTTCTAAGTTGGAACTTTCTGCCACCAATGAGAATCAAACATTTAAAATCGAGCGCTTAGAGAATTTATTTTGAATCAAATGCTGAGGTGAAAGATTGCTATTCGGGGGTTCTATCTGGATCGCTCAGTTTTTTTTTTTCAGTTATGAATTTTTGACCCGACTTTTTAAATTAATTTTCTTTTGATTTTAGTATGCATTCTTCCAAGTGAGTAAGCACATATCTCAGTTTCTTACTTAATAAACCAAAACAAAAGGGAAGGGAAACTTTGGCTGAGGGAGTGTCAGTTATTGCATAGTTTCAACTTCTAATTTTTATTTCTTTTCCAGATACCGTTTTTTAGTTCAGTTTACACGTTGAATATGATATCTAACTAAGTCACAAACTTACATTGGAATGCATGTTAGATCACGTCTTCTATAAAACAATTTTTCGCATATTGCACAAAACCGTTATTGTTGTCACAAACAGGATCTTTTGGATACCTTCTGCTGAAATTCGTTCTTCAGTAACATTTTTGAAATGTATTTAGTCGCAACACGATCGGTTCAAGTGCCGTAAACTCTGCAAGTTCCGTCAAAACCGCGAAGCCGAAGTCAAATGAAATGCCAGGCGGCAACTCGAATCAACTCGGACCCGAGAACCAACACGGCATCAACAGTGACTCATCAGATTACGTCACCGAAATCACGGATCCTTTGGCGTCACTGAACCAGAGCAGTCCGAACTTCTTTCCTAAGCCATGTCCGGCTTGTGAGATTGAGTCTTACATTTTACGGAACGCGACCAAAGCACACCCCCCTCAGAATCCAGACGGATCTGCGGTGGGGGTGGAGGGGAGGTTGATTGTGTCTCAGCTACTGGACATGAATGTACGTGACGAGACTCTTCAGGTCATGTGTACTGTAAGAATCATGTGGACTGACACATACATGGTCTGGGATTCGAGTGACTACGGGGGAATTGTAGAGGTAAGTCGCGGGATCCTTTTGCCGATATAAATACTAATATTGACAAAATCTAAAATTGATAAAAGTAGGTTTATTATAGGAAGAAACAATCTATTATTTTTACTGCCTAATATACTTGCTTGTGATATGATTAAGAAACAGTGATTCAACCCATAGATTACAAGTTTTCTCTGCAAAACTACGTTTGATTTTTTAATCTTCTTAAAAGCGCCATGAGGTCATTTGTGTCCTTTGTCAAAAACGATCGCTTAAGTCTGTGCTCTCAAAACGCATACCCGAATCATTCACACAAAGTCGAAATTAAATAATCATAACAATAATAATTGTGGTTTCTGCGATTCGCGGAGTATCTCTGAAAGGCTATCCATTCTGTCGAAGTGTTTGCGCTAACCTGAAAAAATTGGTCCATTTCCATTATCTCCCCACATTCCGGACTGAGATTTGTTGTTGAGCAAAGCTTTTTTTTGCGACTGAAAATCGTTTTTTTTGCGTCTAGAACTTTCACGTGGTACGAAAATTTTGTTTTTACATTTGATTTATTGTAGAAGTAAAAGCTTTCAGATGCCTGTTTGTGATCTTAAACAGGGGCACAACAGCGGTTCGCCGTGATGAGCGGTACAGCTCTTGTGTTGGTCCTTTCCCACGTGGATAAATGATCTTAAAAAAATCTAGACAAAACAAATAAATGTCAAACTTTAGACACCTTGCAATGGTTAAAGGCACTATAAATCTCCGTAATTGTTTTATCAGCTTATTTTTCACAAATACACGAAAATTATAGTGGGTTCAGCGTGGATCACGTGATCAAAGAAACGTTTCAGCTCTGGAATCAAAATGTTTTCAAATTCCATGAATTTGAAATTGAGTTTAAAACCTCAAATAAAATTTTAATTCGAAGAAAAGCTGCAAAAATATGCACGATTGCGATAGACTTTTCAGCCCTTAGATAGAATAAAATGGCCGCTGAATCCGGAAAATGGACATAATTTCACCAGATGACGGCAGATAAGGGCATGTTATGCTTTTTGGTGAACTCTAAAAAGAAAGACAGGATAATCCATCAAAGAAATGTAAATATTTTGATTTATTATCGCCTATCTTGACACCAAATCAGACAATTATAATCAAGCTGCGTCAAGATTTATGTCAAACAGATAAATCACTGAACTCTCAGCGGCGACTGATTTTAGAAGGCATGTTCACGTGATTAATGAAAATTGCCCCCGGTACCTGACAGGACCCGAAAAACCCTATAACTACAAACTTATAAATAAAACAAAATGAATCAAACTCGCGACTGCCATCAACTAAGAGTGGTTAGAACTCCCAATGTCAACTTGTTGAGCGAGTAACTGTCCCTCGCCGAAGATTTCAGATAAAAATAGATTATATTGAGAAAATCTTGACAAAAACGTTGCTCTTAAATCTATAATCTACCCAATTTACGGAACATTTTTCTCCATATAATCTTGATAAAATCTATTTTTTTTGCAATGTAGTCAAATTAAAGTTTTTTCTCTCCTTAGAAAAACCTGAAAATCTATATAAAAACAGGACTCACTCAAAGCAAGAATTTTCATATAAAATTAAAAACCAGGCGCATCAATTTTTGCAATATTTGTCAAGACTTGAGGAATTTATGAAAAATGTTTAAAAAACTATTGAAAATCATCAATGAAAAATTCAATGTTTGCTAGAAAAAAAATTGATAAGTTTTAGTTTCATAAAGGGGCGCATCTAAGGTTTTCATAAGCGGTGCGGGAGGGGGGGTTCGGGGTTTAAAAACATCAGTAAAGTATAGTAAGTTTACATCACTAGAAAGTTTACAAAAAATTCCTTCTAATTTTTGTTTCTAAATTATTCTAAGACAAAAAAATTAAACATTACCAAAACAATTGATTTAAAAACAGCAGTAAAATAGGCTAGCAAAAAAACGGAAGTCAAAAAATAACAAAATGTTAACTTATTTGTAAAACTCGACTCATTTTTTAAATAAAAATGTGAAATTGAGTGAGACAACAAGATAACAAACTGAAGGTTAAAATAAATATGAGCAAAAAAGAAAATTTCAGCGGCGAAAGAAAATGCACTCAAATCATTTCACGTTGAGTTGCAGGAAACATGAAACGAAATGGACAAAGTGATGCTTTAAGAGACGAGAAGAAGACTGTTTGTATTCATTCAAAACCGTAGACTACCATGTAATCTCTATAAAATAGATTTTCAAGTGAATATAGAAAAAAATTCAACAAAAATATGTATTTTTGCTTTTAAAATCTTTAAAATCAAAAAATTAGTTGAAGTAGAATTTTTTACCATTCATGAGCACATTATTCCATTTCGGCAGTTAATTTCGTTTATTTCCATGTGGAGTTTGAACCAGATTAGTTTGCCGCTTACGCGCTATAAGATGGAATTAAATCCAGCTCTGATTACCCCGAATAGATCAAATAGGTAATCTTCAAACACTAAAATCATCACCGGTAGAAAAAAATAGACTTTAATTTTGAGCGTAGAACATAAGTATTTTCAAATATTGTTTAAAAAATCAAAATTTCACCCCTAGGAGATTCTGTTCTAAGCTTTTTGGAATCTTTAGGATGAGCACTCGGTACCAAATCTTGTGAAACAGCTCCATTGTCCCTGTTTGAGACCTATGTTAACTTAATCTTTTGTTTTCTTGGGTAGGGAAGCGTTTCCTCCCGCAAGCAATAACTATGGAGCAATTTGGGTCAGTAATACTTGATGTCAAATTTTGAAAAAAAAAATCGAATGAAAAAAGAATACATGAACTTTAATGGCAGTGTTTTCAAAATAACCCACTTGATTAGTTTGGGGTAATTGTACACTGAGTCGAAGTAAAACAACTAAATGAAACAAAACATTTGAAGACGTCAACAAGGATAGCCATAAAAATGCAGTGCTTGCTTGTTCTGACTACCCTAAATGCCGATGAAATATTTTTGATATGAAAAAAAATATATATTTCCCAAATTAGAAGAAAACCATCCACCCACTACCTGCTTTGTGTTTAAAAACATACTTTTTTGCTTTTAGTAAAATGTAGACTCAGTATTTTGCCTCAGTTGAATGTTGAATGGTTTCTAAGTTAATCATTTTGCTTCTTGAACGTTTTAAGAAAGCAAGATGTTGTCAATTGAAGCAAATAAAACAAGTATCAATTTTCAATCAATCCCATTTCTCTCTGAAAAACTTTTTTTTTGATAACAACAGCACAGGGAATCAATATATTTCAGATTGTACAAAAATACCGTCAAGAAAATTACTTTCTTCAACAGTTGCTACAAAAAAATCAATGATATTCATTTTTTGCAGTTCTTATTTCAATCATCACATGTAAATAATATGTAAATAATCCCACATAAAAGATCAATAGCCAACGCTTCTGTCTTGCTGTGATAGGGCTCAAACCCAATTGTGTTCAAAACATGAATCAAAAGCATTATTTATGCAACGCTCATAGTCAGATAACAATTTTTGTTCCGACTTCCGTAGCGAAAGTAACGGAAAATTTGTGATTGGGGTGTTTTTTTCTTCAGGCAAGTTTCGACATTTTTAACTAGCCATTTTGACGGAAATTTAAAAAAAATTCAAAAGGTTTTGTTGTCCTGAGCTTAAATTTGAAAAGATATTTCACCTGTGATCATTTTCCCCAAAGTTATAGGGGTTTAACGATTTCTATCTTGGCCAATTTGGGACAATTAACGCTCGATGTACTTCGCGCTATTAATGCGTCAGCGAAGTTTCATTTCGTCTTAGCAATCGTTGCAAATTGGTTGAAGGAAGCTTTTTTGCCGTAATTTAGTTGTTATTAGGAAGGAAATAATTTTTTTTTCTCGTTTTATTTTTGTACATTCATTTTTTCGTGTTATTACTTCTCCGTAGATCTTAAAACGCCACAGGAATATTCAGGGCTTCGCCTTAATACGAGCAGTCTCGTTTTTTTCAATTTGAATAGTTTCGATTGATTAAACTGTAAAATATCAACGCGAACCGAAAATATTTCTGTTTCAGAATTTAAAAAATTTTATTTTTAAACCGCATTATCGCCGCTTACTTCTTTGTAACTTTTAGGGTAAAAATCAAGTCAAACGTGGGGTGACAATTCGTAACAGTCGACAGTTCGTAACAAGCGACAAATCGTAACAAGCCTTAATTTGCAATAGTGGATTAAGCGGAGACTAATGATTCACAAGCAAAATTATTCTCGTGCCGGACGTAAGCGCAGCGTATTCTACCTGCCCTATTACGAAAAGCCACTAGTTTCAGAGTTTTGTCTTCTACAAGTTTTGCCTGTTTACGAATTGTAGAACTATTCAGGTTAAAGATTATTTCTCAAATTTATAGATTATCAAACTTTTCTGCCGCAAACATATAACTTTTGATGATATTAAACTTTAGGTGGTTTCATAAAAGTTACTTGACAAAACCTTTTAGTTTTCTTAAGATGCTAATCAAAATCCTTCGATCAAACTCCAATGTCTTTTGAAGTTCTGTAGTATCCGTAGTGTGTTGTTCATTTTGCAAGTTGACATAAATTTTCCATCAGAACCAGTTATTTTAGGTTCATGTCTCAAGATCAGGCGTTGTCCATAGAAATCTAGCCAAATTTGCTCATGGATTAAATCTTGCATGACATTTTTCTTATTGCGCGACGAACTCTTTTTTTAGATTGCCATGAATAGGCGCTAAATGCACTTCTAGTGTTCGTTTTAGAAATATATCCTGAAAATACAAAGGCATCATCAAGTAAAAATTTCAGCAAGTACAAAGGCATCAGAAAGAAAAATACGAAGATTTGCGTTCAGAATTAGTTTTAATAATTCAAAATACAAAAAATGGGTTTAAGTAAAGAACCAGGAAAAGCTATTATTCTTCATTTTTTATCTGCGGAAATTATTTTGCCCTTTTAATCAAAAAACATTTTTAGATTGGCTATAGTGTAACTCCAGTTCAAAGTTTTAATTAATATAATAGGG